TAAAAATATGTGGCGGCGGAGGGGAGCGCGATGCGATGGATTTGATGTAATAAAAGAATATTGAAAACAATTATCTGGGAATCGAAGCAAGTTTTATGAAATATCTCAACGAGTAATCGAGACAATTCAATCATATTCGTATTATTGTACGGCACGTGTGATGATTTTGTTATCTTTTGCACAACGTTAATCATGTATAATGCTCATAATCGAAAAAACATCGTCCATGAGATTGAAATAAGGTTAATTCCTCCCTCCCTCTCTCCCTCTATAAATCGCAATTTTGATTCAACATGATTGATTTGATTGTCATTATGTCGATAATGAAAACAAAATACAAATACAATTAGTAAATGCTTATGCTTCTGGCAGCACGTGGTATCGACGTTTATTTGAACAAACTGTGTCTTCCTCTTTTTTTTTCAACATCATTCTTTTTCCATGTGGACATATACCTTCTGCTCAAAAAGTATCCGGAATTGCTTATTTAAATAAAGCGCGTTTATGATATTTCAAAATCCTTTTGTGGTTAAGTTGGTACTTGGTATTTGCAAAATTTTGCAAAATTATAACCTAGCGACATATCGAAGACTCAGGGTTCAAAATTTAATATACTCGAGTCTGTCGCTAGACACAATACCCGTCATATAATTGTAGATTAGGTTATTCTGAACAAAAAAGCCCTTTGCCATTTTGCAAATAAGTACGCAAATTTTCAAGTTATCAATTAAAAAAGCTTCTAAATGTGGTCGTTTTCAATCGTCAATAATTTAATAACTATTGCGATTTTTGTAAAATGGAACTTGACTTTTCTTCTCAGTTTGATCTGATTAATCTCCACAATTTTCCATTTCCAAAACATCCCGAACACCCTGTATATAATCAAATGTGATCTTTTTTCCGAGTGTGTAACGTACTTCGATATAATTTATAAAGCATGTAATTATAAATTATTACTGATTGAAGTAGAATTTCTATATTCTAATAGGGAGCTCCTCGGACACATCCCGAGTGTTTAAGGTATACCGTTGCTGCTTTGTTTCCGGTAACCTCAATTATGACATAATTATACATGAGAGACCTACATTCAGTTCGACTATCGATATATAACCTCAGTAGTGTCGCAACATGCCCCTTCCTTATATTCTTTATTCAATGATTTGAGATTCAATGATTAAACATTGCAAAGAAGCTTTCTCTGTTGAACATAACCAATATTTCATGATCGAATAACTCACTAGTTGTAAACTCACAGTATAATATTAGCAGCGATATATAATATCTTTTAAACTGATATGTTCAAAAAAATCATAGCAATAGTAATGTCGATCTTACATGCCGCTATCATGTTTCCACTAATTCTTGAAATTCTTTGTCATGAAAAATGTATGTTTTCAATTATTCTGAATACTTGTGGACATGGGAAAAGATGTTTTAATTTGAGGGTTCCTAAAAGATCTCATACACAAAAGAAACAAAATATATTTAAATGATGACAAACACGTTTTACATATTGTGTAAATGTAAAAACTGAATGAAATATTTCATTTTGATAATTAATTAGCACAAACAAAATTAATTAAACTAACGAAAATGAAAATACAAGTAGTTATTTGTTATATAATTTTATTATGATATAAAACTATATAACAAACCTTCAGCGACTTGTAGACGAATTGACGTCTCTCAGTTTGCGCATTTACATGCCGTTTTACATTTTAATTTATAATAGCACAATGTGCGTTTTTTTGCTTTCAATTGGCACATTATGCGCCTGTAGCTCGTTTATTGGCATTAATTTTTTTACTACGAAAAAAGTAACGCAAACGGTAAATCCGGTCTGCGGGACCGCTACAATTTTTTAACCGTCTCGTGTAACACATTTCCACTGAATGACAACGGAACCACTGTAGCATTTGGTGAAGATATATGAAGGTATTTTGAGTTTAGAGTGCCTCTTGCGGATATTAAGGAAGTTATTGATTATGATAATATTTCAGTAGCGGCCTGTGAGACCAACATATCAGTTTAAAGGATATTGTTCAAATATTTTTATTTTCGGTTTCTCCACGTCTCTCAATAGTTATTTTTCAGATGAAGATATCAGATAACTAAAAATTTTTTTTCTTCATTGAATCCTCTGATTACGTATACAAGAGAGAAAGAAGAAGGGGGAGAGAGCAAGAGAGAACGAATTAAAGCACTATATTCTATTTCAAACGAAATCGTACGAACAATTCAGTGTCATCCCACACTTGAAAATTGTTCGGTTTATTTCTTATTGTATTGGGTGAGTGCAAAAGTTCGTGCGGAGTTTGTGAGTAAAAGTCACACAGTGATTAGGCAAACAAAAATCTTTATTCAATCAATGATATATTCTCCATCGTTTTCTATAATCTTTTCCCAACGTTCTGGCAGCATACGGATGCCTCGATCATAAAAACTGCGCGGTTTAGATTCGAAGAACGAAGAGACGCCGTTTTTTAAGGCCTCCAAAGAGTCAAAGTTTTTTCCATTTAAATAATTTTGCAATATAATGTCCGCATCATCATCATCATCATCATCATCATCATCATCAGATTAAAAAATATTGATAATTGAAATTGAAATATTGAAAATATCTACAAACAACAAATTCATTATTATGTTCATATTTTTTTTTAAATAGCAACAATTACAAACTCTTGTAATTTTTATGTTAAGTTTTATATCGGAGCACTAAAATCAATATCTGCCAAATGTCGGTTGCTTTAAGTAGAAGATAAGTTTATCTCTATCAGATACAAACCTCACAAAAGTGAAAAAAGCTGATTCCGGGATATCTTTTGGAGAAAGTTGTTGAGAATTTATCTACAGATGAAAAAATTATATATTAGTGACATTTTTTTGACATGATTTGGAATATTTAAGCCAAAATTGACAGCAATGAGGCGTGGGTGCTTTTCAGAAGTTTATCCATTCATTATTCGCTAGAACAATAAATGCTCAATTAGTCAGACTGAAAAATAACTGTTATTAACCCTTTGCATTCAGAATGCCAGCATAGTTGGCAAGAACATTTATTTTGGCAACTCGAGATGCCAACTGTGCTGGCACGAAAAAGATTTAAAAAGAGAGATAAAATAATAAGATGTGGCGACAACATTAAAGGAAATAAAGATACTATTTTGTAGTTTTTTTAGGAATTTAGTAATTATATTTATAATTATCGAGTCAGTGGGAGGAAATATTCCTGGAATACAAAAGGTTAATTTGTCTGCTAACAACATTATAGTCCCTATTCCTTATATTCTTTATTTGATGATTTGAGAGATCTAAGTGAGGAGTAAGGACCTTCGTACATGCTAAAATTTTAGTCGTAACCGCAAGGTCGTAATTGAAAACGAAAATTGACCAATCACAGTCGAGTATCTTTTTAGCGTAAGGAGAATAATTGGTTATGACTGGTCAGTTTCTTTATAACTTTACGATTAAAATTTGTCAGGGTTAGGAAGATTATTCTGTAAAAGTATCTAGTTACAGTTTTTTTTCATTAAAAAAGTAACTAGTTACAATTATAGTTATTTAGAAAATAATGAGTCGTTATTTTTCAATTACTTTTTTACAATAATTGTGCTATTATTTTAAATTTCGTAATTGTGTAAATTCCTTCAATTTTATCTAAAAATAGTTTGTTGATTATTATATTCCTCATATTGTATATAATTTTTACAAATTGGATTCATTAATTTAAATAAGCAATTCATATCTATTCTTTAAGAGTATTAATAACAACTGGGCAGAGGAATGCTCAGTTGTTCTTGTTTCCAAGTTTTTGTTGCAACTCGAATATTTCTGCATATGCTGGTCATGGTATTTTACAATTCTTCTCCGAAGATTGAGATGTTTTATCCATTGCTTGAATTTTTTATATAACTGAAACCACGCAGCGCACTTCACGCTGAACGCAGATGATGTTAACAAATAAGGACTGGCGATGCGCGACGGAAATGTCCAATAGACGTACAATTTTTTTGAAAGAAATACAGGTTACGTTCGAAAAGGAGACTATCAGCACTATTACGTCATTATATCTTTGTTTTACATCTAATGAGCAGTAAAGATAGATGATGCAATAGCACGTTTTCCAAATGCAGCCAGAATAACCGTATGCTTATTGGATATCAAGCATCGCACACCGCGTTATCGTGCTAGTCGGCCAGAAACTTAAGTTTGAAATATATAAAATAACTATTAAATTAATTACTAGTTACTAGTTATCAAACAAATGTAACTAAGTTAAGTTACAGATGGAAGTTATAGAAGGAACAAAACGGAACGAAGTTATAGTTATTGAAAGAAATAACTGCAACTGTAACTTCGTTACAAGTAAACGAATTACTTTCTAACTCTGCTATTCCTTATATTCTTTATTCGATGATATGATAGATACAAGGCTCTTAAGGGCAGCGTGTTACACGTGCAAAAATTTTAGTCGTAAGGTCGCACGAAAACTGATCAATCACAGCGGAGTATTCCTCCAGCGCAAAGGGAAATGTTCGACTGTGATTGGTCAGTTTCCTAACAATCCTACGACTAAAACTTGCGTATGTACAAAGGCCTCAAGAGAGAACGGTGCGACAGTCTAAACCGCGGAGATCGCGAGGCGGATAGGGAGGAAAGCCAGGAGAACACGCAGGGCCGTACCGTCGCCCGGAGGCTCACGTCCCGTGAGAGTTCGTGCTGCGAGAGCGTGCAACACGAGCGCGTGTTCTCCTCGGTAACACGGAGTAGGAAGTAAACGGACGCGTATTCAAGCGCTGCCCTCGGCTCCGTCCGCCGCCGATCGGCCACTCTCGTGCCCACCTTCCACGCTCACCTTCTCTCTCTCTCTCTCTCTCTCTCTCTCTCTCTCTCTCTCTCTCTCTCTCTCTCTCTCTCTCTCTCTCTCTCTTTGCCGACCCTACCAGCGCGGCATTAAACATAGAGGGGAGGCCGCGCTACAACGTTGGGAGGCTCAATTGTTGGTGAACCGTCGCTAAGAGCGGCCGGACACACGCAGTTCCTCTCGAACGGGGATCTAGAGCGCGCGCTCTCGGCGCCTGCTTGCGATCGGTGCGCGCATCCAACGGAGCGGACCCCCGCGCAACGTTCTTCCTCCGCCGCGAGCAGAGCCGTCGCTTTGAATTCGAGTGTGGCGCGCGCGCGCGCGTACGCCGGGCGGCCGGGAGAAACCGTGTATGAAACACGCGGCGGGTCATCGCGGACGACTCAATTCAACGACGCGGCTCGGTCGGTTGATAGTAGTGGCTCTTCAGCCGGAGATGTGTTTCGCGTGACAAGTGACGCCGGTCTTCCCTGTGTCGCGCGGGAGCGAAACGCGCGTGCAAGCGCGATCGCGATCGAAGTGAGTGTTGGAGAGAGAGAGAGAAAGGGAGAGAGAGAGCGAGAGAGAGAGAGAGAGAGAGAGAGAGAGAGGAAAAGAAAAAGAGAGAACGGATCGAAGGAGAAAACGTGAATCGCGCTCTCTTGTGGACTCTGTCAGTGTGTGTGCGACGATCTCTGGCATCTCTAACAGCTCGTTTAAGCGCGTCTAAGTCGCTCGAGAGCAATTCCCCTTTGATTTCGGTGTCTTCCCGTACGCGTCTTGCCAGACCATAAGCAGTGGCCATGACCGCGGACAGTCTGTTCGAGCCGACCAGCATCCCAGGGCACCTCGCTCCCACGCCGGAGAGGCTGGAGAGACTTCTATCGAAGCAAACCCTCGAGGAGCTCTACGAGGTCGAGGAACAGCCTTTCGCACGGTGAGCCACGACTTTACAAATCGAAACGCGCGGCCCATTTTTCTCCCCCTCTCTCTCTCTCTCTCTCTCTCTCTCTCTCTCTCTCTCTCTCTCTCTCCCCCTCTCCCTCTCTCTCTCTCTCTTTCTCCTTCTCCTCCTCCAGCTCCCTCCCCTTCTTTCGTGCACGCTCTCGCACTTTCTTTCCGTCTCTCTTGCTCACCCGTTCTCTCCTCCCGTCCCTCCCTCTGCTCTCACCCTTTTCCTCTCTCCTCCCTCTCTCTCGTCGCTCTCTCTCTCTCTCTCTCTCTCTCTCTCTCTCTCTCTCTCTCTCTCTCTCTCTCTCTCTCTCTCTCTCTCTCTCTCTCTCTCTCTCTCTCTCTCTCTCTCTCTCTCTCTCTCTCTCTCTCTCTCTCTCTCTCTCTCTCTCTCTTCCCCTCTTCGTCTCTGTCACTCCTCTCTCCCCTTCTCATTTTCCTGCTCTCATTATCTTTCTTATCTTTCTCTCTCGATGTCCTGCTCTTTCACGATCCTGCTCTCTTACTCTTTTTCCCTTCCCTCATTTCCTCCCTTCATTTGTCTCTCTCTCTCTCTCTCTCTCTCTCTCTCTCTCTCTCTCTCTCTCTCTCCCCCCTCTCCCCCTCTCTCTCTCTCTCTCTTTCTCTTCCCCCTTTTAATTTCTCTCTGCGCTCCCACCCTCTTTTTGTTACTCTCCACCTCTTTTGTTTATTTTTTAGTCTCTCTTCCTCTGTCGGTCCTTTATTATTTATATCAGGTATTGATACAACTTAAATATTGTAAATATTGTATGTGTGTGTGATGAGTCAAATAGTTATTTTAATTTAATAGTTATAGCGGTTATTGTTATTTAAAAATAACCGGTTCTTTAAGCAGTTATTCAATAAAACAATTATCAACAATTGTCTAAAATATCGTTAGTGGACAAGTTAACCAATTATTTGCCGGACTAACTAATTGCGTGCCTATTGCTCTGATGAATAGTGAGTTATTCGATGCCTGATTGGCCGTGTCCGACAGAGAAAGTTGCTGTGCAACTGAATCTAAAAGAATATCCAATTAGATTTTCCAATTTCGCAAAATAATTGCAAAGTAGCTTCCTTGCTAAACGTAGACCCATAGGCTGATTTTCATATTCTTCCTTGCATTTTAAATCGTTTTAGGCCCGGTTCCACAATTTACTATAAACGGAGTTTATCTCGTTAAATCCAGTTTTCAAGGAAATATTGCGTTCCACAATTGCCATAAACTTCGGTTACTGTCTATTTCGTGCGATTAAAGTCAAACGCCGATTTTTGGACGTTTAACGAACATAAACGAAGTTTAATGCTGCAATGCCACCAATTTCAAAGCCAAGATATCCATCGTCCAGCTTTTTATGGTTTTGTTGGTACAACATCGCAATTTATCGAGCATCGAAAGATAATAAGAAAATAATCCATACAAAAAGTGAGAAATAAATTCGTTGGAAGATATGATGGCTTTAAAGTATATCTTCGTCTTCATCCGAAGATGAAGATTTTGACAATTTAATCATCAACGTCCGAAAATTGTAAGAAAACGGTCATCGTAGAAGAATTCGATAATATCGATCTTCACGGGCGATTCATCTGTACTGCCAGCAGAAATCGAGCGACTTGTTTTCATCCTTATTCCTGTCTTACTTTCGACCATTTGTTATCAACCAATCACAATCTATGTTCGACAAGAAGAAATCTTTGGGATTTTCTTCGTACAGACTGTAGGTTTACATAAACTACAGTTATAAATACAATGTGGGACCCAATGCAAGTTTATCCATCGCGTTAAATGTAACAGCCGTTCAGCTAAGCTTGGTTTAAACTCGATTTTGTAGAACTGGGCCTCAGAGGCTCAGAGCATAAGACTTACTTCAGCTATTATTGACCGGGACTTAGGCTTAAGGCAGTAACAGCGCTTCTACCGTCGCAAAGGAACTAACAATTAAAGCACTATTTGTACTCGTTAATCGCCATCGACTACTTGGTTGTTCGTTTATATTTAGAGGATTTATTACTGGACGGTTATTAGTCTGCGACGGAGAAGTCCGTTATTGGTTAAATAGTTGACTCGGGACGTAGACAGCTGTTGCTTCGGTATAAACTCGGGTGTTGATGAAAATAATATTCTAGTTCATTAACTGTTACTCTCCGAAACTTGGATCACAGTTGCTGATGTTATTTTTTTTTTACGATTATTACTTAATTTACAGTTGAGGAAATAACGGCCATCGTCGATTGTAAATGTAGTCTTGGGAAAAATGTTAATGTTTGCACAATCAGGAAGTTGACTCCATAACATATATATCAGCGGAAATAAAAAAATTATCTTTTTTACTTATTTGTTCGTCGCTTAATTTCGGCCTGTTGCTGCTGCCTTCCTTTGATTATTGCTGTCCTCAGGTCCTGGTCCATAACTGGAATTTTGGACTTTTGTCTCTAAAGGGCAATGAGTTATCGCGTTAAATTTATTTATTTACAAGATCAGACGTGATGATTTTTTAGCTACGGTGGTTCAAAGTTGATTTGGAAAAAAAGTATTTTACTAGCTACTTGCTCTCCATTCCTGTTTAGGTCATTTGTTTTCAGAGAGAATTTTATAATTGTTCGTGATATACTAATAAACTCAGAGAGAGAATTTCCGTGTTTTGCATGTCGATATCTATTCGATCCAGTTTCATTTTTATTTTATATTTTGTTATTAATTTGCGCAATTGTTAATTTATCATATGTATATTGATTGAATAAGTATATAATCATTTTTTTCGACTTATATTATTACCAAATAAAATTAATTCTTGCAATTACTTTTTCGCAACAGTAATTTATAATTACTTATTTTTTAATTGCTTGCGCGTATTATTTCGTTTTATTAATCACAATGTACTAATGTTGAGCGTTTGAAGGGTTTTTATCGTAGAATGCAAATTAGCTTCTCTCTCTTTTTCTCCTCTCCCTTCTTTCTCATTCTCCAACTTTATCTTTGTCTCTGTCTCTGTCTCGTCCTGTCGCTTCCATTCGTTGTGTTTCCTGTCGCGTAGTCTCGTGATCTTTTTCTCTCGCTTATCTTTGTGTGTTCGATTATAGTGAGGTTGGACTGCTTCTGACTAATGCGTCTCCGGTGACCTCCCGAGGTCGATCCCAATTTTTTTCCCCGCACTCGATGTCTATGATTATCCACTCTGGCGTTAATCTTTTTACTCTCGAACGCCGCGATGCGTCCCTTTTTTCACGCGACTAATTTGTCACATGTCAGCATTCGTTGGGACGAGTGCACGATAGGTCAGTTTGGTTTGTTAGGTCAATTATTTCTTCAGAAGCAACTGAGGAAATTATGGAATAACGCAGTGCAGGTCATGGTGTGCAGTTTCGTTAAGTTAGTACATTAATATCATTACCATAACTCGCGATCACCTTATTAATTTAACTATCTTAGGAGTAAAATTCTCGGATGATTTTAGACATTTTTCCTAGCAGGGCTTAGCAGGTAAATATAAGAAAGTGACGAAACGTACAGGGGAGATTACGATAACTTTAGTCCGCGAAATAAAAGTGGTTTCGGAAGTATTTTCAGCAAAAAGTATGGGAAAAATAGTAAAAAAATTCTATGATCAACATTTGTCATTGTTAATAAGGATATTAAATATAAAAGCATATATAGGGTATCCCATTTTAGACGAGTCGTGCAAAAATCTCGAAAATTAAGCATTTTGGAAAAAAATGTTTCAGACAAAAGTTGTATGGTTTTAAAAGGGACATAAAACAACTATATCATTCTGTGGACAAATGTCGTCACTTTCGAGATATTCACTGATCATTACTTTCCTTAAATGGAAACCCCAATTTTTTATTACATCCTTTATCTACCAATTAATTTTAACAACTTTTATCTGAAACATTTTTTTATTTGCCTAATAGTTTTTGAGATATTTAAGGAAAACTTGATAACTTTTTTAACATTTAACTTATGATATTTCGCTAACTATTTATCGGAAGAAAAAATGGTATTAGACTTTATACTCTATTCGATATCAAGAATATATCGTTAAAATAGCACTTTGACTTTTGTTAATTTAATGATTTTAAAGTTCCAAAAGCCGATAAATTAACAAAAGTAATAATATATTCTTGAGACCAAATAGAGTAGAAAAGTATTATTTTTTCTTCCGACAAATAGTGAGATATCATGAGTTAAATAATGAAAAAATTACCAAGTTTTTCTTAAGTATCTCAAAAAATATTAAGTAAACAAAGAATGTTTCAGACGAAAGCTGTTAGAATTAATTGGGAGGGAAAGATGATATAATAATAAAAAATTGGGATTTCCATCTAAGGAAAATAATGATGAGTGAATATCTCGAAAGTGGCGCCATCTATAAACAAAATAATATAGTTGTTTTATGTTCCCTTTGAATACAACTTTTGTCTGAAACGTTTTTTAGTATCTTTCATATTTTGTAGGATTTTTGCCTTTTTGTATTTTTTGTTAGTCTTTTCAGTTCATCAATTATTTTTAGTATATTGTAGACTCATTTATTTGGTAAGGCGAATATTTACAAAGTATATTCGTAATGCTTGTTTATATGTTGAAATATTTCTTTTTCGATTTTTTCTTTGTAGTTGTTATTTTGATATCTGTTGGTCACAGAATTTTTTTACTATCTTTCCATGCTTCTCGTTAAAAATTTCTCCGTAAGTCATCTTCATTTCGAGGAGCCAAAGTTATCGTAATTATGCCTGTATATGAAAAAATGTCCTCGCAAAATTACTCGCGAGACGAAATTTTTCTGATAATTTGATAGGAAACGTCCGGTTGCTTTTGGGCTGTTGCGTTAACGATAAAACAAATTACGGTCGTATCCGTGAAGCATCTAGATGTAGAAAATTATAGTGCGACCCCATATAAAAAGTCGACGGTAGATTCTTGCGAAGCGGGGAGAAAGGTCGATGTGACAAAAAGTACATCTCCTGCCATGGGGATACGCGATG